AAGTTTTTATCACAAAAAATAGATCTCAAAAACTAAAACTACAATGACCAAAATAACATTTTTCTATTGAAATTTTAAGTTTTTTTTTTATTTTTAAAAAAATTGAAATCCTACCCCCAAAACCCTACTCCTCAACTTTAAACAAAAAAAATTTAGGATTATTTAACCCAAAAGGTATAAATGTATTTTTACTTATTTTAGATAAAATATTTGAGTCTACAGTATTTTGTCATTTTTATTTTAAGGTTTATATATGTGATAAAAGTTTTTTAGGTCTATCTTAGGGAATTTCTTAAAGGAGATTCTCTTCTTTAATTTGTAAGCAAATAATTTTTAGAAATATTTTTTTATAGAAGAATTTTGCAAATGGAATATAAAATTACGTTGAAGGTTTAAAATCTACTCATTTTTATAAGTAACCATACTAATTTAGTAAATAGTTAGATTATAATGTGTTTATTTTCCTATTTTGTTTTAGATATTCAGTATTTTCAAGATTTTTGAAATAACTTAGCTAAATGGATGATAAAACATATAGTTTATTTGATATTGAAATGTTTGTAATTTTATCACTACCAAACTTGTAAACAAAATATAGATTTTTAATATTATTAATAACGAAAGATAATCGCATGTAATATAATTTTGTAACACATGTATTTGTGCAATATAAATTGTAAATGGTTTCTATAAAATATTATCTTAATATTTAATTTATAAATGAGTTTTGTGTGATTCCTTACCTAGTAATTTAAAGTAAAATTTTTAAAAAGGCAAGTCTCTTAAATAGTTATTTTTAAGTTTTTGTCATAAAATAGTCCTCAAAAAATAAAATGACCAAAATAATATCTTTTTATTTTGAAATTTATAATATCTATTTTTATTTTTTTAAATTTGAAATCCTAAATCTAAAACTCCACCCATTTACTCAAAATCCTAAATCTAAAATTAGTTAATCTAAAGTTATAAGTGCATATTTACCTTTTAATAAAATTTTATTTAGTTATTTTCCTTTTGAAGACTATTTTGTGAAAACAAACTAAAATAGCTATCTAAAAGAATTGATCTTTTAAAAATGTAACTATTAAATTACTTTTGAAAAATAAATATGGAGATGTCCATTATACTCAGCTGGTAATGCGATAATCAAGGTTTAACTCACAGAAATGGCTTGGCTCCGTACCTTGTCAAGAACCCTAAAATCAGACAAGCCAATACTTCTATCACTACCCAAAATCTCTTCGTCTTCCCCAAGTCCGAACCCTAATTTCACAACCCGAACTTTATCCACCTCATTCCTCATCACCAAAACGCCAGATAAATTCAAAAAGAAGCGGAAGAAAGCCGAATCCGCCAGAACCAAACCCGTTCAACACGACTCAACCCGACTCCAACATTTCGAATCCCTCGTCGCACGCGACGCCCATTTCCGATTCCTAACCCGATGCAAAGAATTCATCACGAAGCAGCCGGATCGGATTCTCCGCCTGGACGACGCCGGTAAGCTTTACCGTGAGCTAGGGTTCCCACGAGGCCGTAAGGTTACTCGTTACATCCCGAAACATCCTCTTATCTTTCAGACGTATCGACACAGCGATGGGAAGATGTGGTTAGGGTTTTCGGATTTCATGGAGGATATGTTAGAGGAAGAGAGAGCTTTAATGGATTCAATGGAGCTTGATAGAGTTAATCGTGTCCGGAAGCTCTTGATGATGACGAAGAATAAACGGATCTTACTTAGCAAAATCCATCACACTAGATTGATTTTTGGGATTCCAGATGATTTCAGAGACCGGGTTGGGAAATACCCGGAGTATTTCCGGGTCGTGACAGGTCAAGATGGGAACCGGATTCTCGAGTTGGTGAATTGGGACCCGAATCTTTCGGTGAGTGAGCTTGAAAGAACATTCATGGTGGACGAAGATAAAGCGAGAAGAGCGTTCAAGTTTCCATTGAAACATGGTAAAGAACTGGAACTGGAAGAGAATGATACGAGGAAGTTGAACCAGTTGAACACATTCCCTTTGGTTTCGCCTTATTCTGATGGTTGGAAGCTCGATGTGTGGAAATTGGAAGCAGAGAAGTACCGTGTAGGGATCGTGCACGAGTTCTTGAGTTTGACTTTAGAGAAAAGAGCTTCCATTCATCACATTGTGGAATTCAAAGATGAGTTTAGCTTGACTAGACAGACTTACCAGATGCTTAAGAAGCAGCCCTCAACCTTTTACTTGGCTGGTACTGAGATGAACTGGACTGTGTTTTTGAAAGATGGATACAACGGGAATGGTGTCTTGATCAGTAAAGATCCGCAGGTTTTGTTTAATGAAAAGCTGTATAAGTTTGCAGATATGCAGCAGGTGGACCATGATTCTTGCCCAATAAAAAGATAAATCCTTTTAGCCGAAGGACATTTATATATATGTTTCTCTAAAACTGATATTGGTGGCATACAAAGTAGTGGCTTGATTCATGGCAGGTAGAAGCAGTTAGGTGGGCAATCTTGTGCATGGCCCGCCCTTCAAGCCCTCTGATAGATAAACTTACTCCTTTTGATATTTGTTAAGTTCTGATATACGACGTTGGTTACAACCTCTAGTCGAATCATCGATATGATCAGTTGTATCTTACATTTGCTAGATTACTGAAATCGATGTTGAGACGAAAGGGGAAAACTTTATGGATTAATGTTTTAGGACGGTAAGAGGTTTTAAAATCTGGACATATGTTGCTTTGCTGCTATACAAACAAAAAAACTAAAAAGTAACAATCCTCAAAAGCTGGTTTTGCCCGCAACCCAGAAAGGTTGACGTGCCGTTTGCTGCGAGTAAGCTGTCAAAATGGGTCATGATTCATGAGTTGACCTAATCCATATTAACCCATGGGTCATAATTCATGAGTTAACCTAATCCATATTAACCCATTAATTTAAATGGGTCATGACCCATGAGTTGATTCAACCCATATTGACTCATAACCCAAATGAACTGTTTATTTTTGATACAATGGGTTAACAGGTTAATGCTTAACAGATTAATTGATTAATAGATTAATGGCTTAATAAGTTAATGTGTTAACAAGTTAATGGGTCTATTAGGTTGGATCAACATCAACCTAGTTAATTTTTAATTAAAATCAAAAATTAAAAACAAACTCATTAACTTTCCAGTTGGATATCACGTTTTTCCCGCCAAAACCGCAAAATCATGTTTTCCCACAAATTAGTTAAATCATGTTTTTCCGCCCAAACCGCTTAATCATTTCTCGCTAAAATCACAATATTTTTCCTGCCAAAATCGCAAAATCATGTTTTCCCACCGCCTAAAATCATGTTTAACACTATTTGTATTAATTGGGTTCCGCAAAAAAAACCATTTAAAATGGTCCATTTTGGGTTTAGACAAAGATGTTGGGTCGATGGGTCACATTAACCCATCTGACCCATATAATTTAATGAGTCATTGGTCAACCCAAACTATTTATTAAATGGTTTGGATTAACCTATAACCGATTAACAGTCAACACATTTGGGTTATGGGCTGGGTTGACCCATTTAACCCATTTTGACACCCCTAGCCGCGAGGAAATAAAATTAATGGCGTTGACGAAGAATTAATTGGGGTGAACTGAAATCGGCTGATCGGAGATGAAGAAGGAAAACAACCGGTCGATTAGTAATTGTGATATAGTCGAATATCAAATGAACAGATGTAATAAGAATTTAATGTTCTAAAAAAGAGATGTAATCGACGTATAGCCAGTGAAAATCCGACCGGCACACAAAAATACAATACTTATTCTGCTTTTCGATTTTTAATATTTAACGTTGGAAATTTTTGCGTTTCAAATTATTTGTTATTTTTCAATCTTCTGTATAAAATTTATTAATATTAACGCTAGATAATTAATGGTATTATATTTTTTATTATTATTGTTTGAATTCTATTTTGGTAAACACTTAATAATGTTATTGTTTAGAAAATGAAGAAAAAACTAAATATTTTTTAATCTGTATAATCCTAAAATGTAAATTATAAAAAAAAATGGAGAGAATATTAATAGGTATTAGATTCGGATCAGCGTGCTTGCACAGATTTACTTTCATTTTTATGATTTTAAATTTCTTCTACACTATTAAATATACATACTTTAGGGAGCGTAGGTTTTTACTTTCATTTTTCTAATTTTAATTTTTTATAATTTTATATGTACTTTGTACTTTTCAATCAAATTATTAGAGTAATCTGTATTTTTGAACAACACGATTTTATAACGACAATCTATAGTAATTTATAGATTTTCATCCACAGTTTATAGATGGCATATATATGTTTGTGGGATTGTGAAGATATTGAAGGAATCATGACAAAATATTCTCAACAACATGGTTTGAACATCTTATAAAATGAACTACAGGTAATAATCCACGCAAGAAGATATTATATCTCTTTAATCCTATGCTACATAGAATCGTTGATAGAAGTGCATTTCTTATTTCTAAAGCAAAATCAGAACCGGAAACGTTCAGAATTGCATGAAATCATCATGAAATCGCGTTTCCAAAATTGTGATGTTTGGAAGAATGACGGAAACACACAGTTCATAGGGAAGCGTGATGGTCGTAGATCGGAAGTTTGACGGTGGTTGTATTGTTGAAGTGCACAGAAAATGAAATATTATTCTTATGGACGTGCAAATTTTAATTGATTTATAGTCCAATTTAATTAACTATATTTTAAAAATCTTAATTCATAAATAACAATAGAGATGAACACTAAAAATGTAAATCTATTCCAATTCCAGGTATCCATCTACTGAAACTAAAAAAAAAATGGATATCCGACTCTCGTTCTCTCTCAGGCACGTTTTGTGATGAGAGTTTTTAACCATTGACTTCTTATCCAAGGCCCCCTTTTACCCAACGTTTCTTTCTCTTTTCAACCAAAAAAGCCTGCAACCTTACATCTGTTTTTTCAAATTCTTTCCTTTTACACCTTTATCCGATGGATTTTTGGGTCGACCTCGCCGGAACTCTGCGGCGGAACCAATCTCCGATGCTCCCATCTTTCAACATTGAGGAGATGTCTGGTTAATACTCCCTCCTGTCCGTTCTCCTGCGGTGTTTGCAAGCTTTTTATCTGTACCTGTACCATAGAGCGTCCATCTTCAACAACAGTCATGGCCTCTAATCCCATTTGCAAGATTTCGAAAACTTACTGAATCTTAGACAAAAAATGGTATCAGTTTTCACAATGGACCTACACTTCTTGACAGTGTCTTGGTCCCTGGTTTAAAACTGAGATCCAAATTTGTTCTACCCGTCTTCTACTCTCTGCCTTTGTTAGGTCCAAGCTCCTACAAAGGAAGGTGTCTTTACTCTTTTGCTGAGCTCCCTAGCACAGCTCGCCTACTCAAGCTCCTCCTCAAGTCTCCACACTACTTCTGACGTCTGCTTCTGATAATACATGTGTTAGTACGGACTTAGCCATGAAAAAATCAATAATGACATACCTCGAAGCTCTACCCACCAGTACCAAGAAGAAGAAGATGAAGATCTGGTTATCCTACCTAATGTAGATAACTCGGAACTCATTGCTCAATTCAGGCTCAGCCTAGTAGGGAGGCTTTTTAACCGAGACCGTCGAAACGTTGAAGCACTTATCTCCCTCCTCCCACGACCAAACATTTGGGATGTGGAGGGGAGAGTGCGTGGCTTAGATTTGGGGAACCACCGCTTTCAATTTGATTTTGACTCCGAAGAAGATCTGCTGAAGGTCCTTAACAAACGACCTTGTCACTTTAACAAATGGTCCTTCTCGCTGGAAAGATGGGATCCTCATGTTGGTGACATTTTCCCAAACACTATGACCTTCTGGATTTGTGCTACAGGTATTCCCACCCACTTCTGGCTTGAACCTATCTTCAGGGCACTAGGAGAAAGATTAGGTGTTGTTGGCTTAATTGAAGCAAAATCTGCTAAGTTTTAAGTCCAAATAAATGTCGACTTACCCTTGAAGTTCGCCTTGAGAGCCCAACTCCCGTCTGGGGAAATTGTGCCAGTGAAAATGGAATATGTTAACCTCCACCGCTGGTGCTTCCACTGCCGCCACATCTCCCACGAAGCTGACTCCTGCCCAGAACTCTCTGAAGAACAAAAACGAACCTTCAGACAAGCAAGAGACGTTGACAAAGATCATGAGAAACCTGCGAGAAAAGAAAGCATCAAAACTGGTGAAACATTAAGAAGGACTGCTATCACGGAGGGGAAGGCAGGGGGCTCTCATGACAGGCAGATCATGGTTGATTCTCACAGAGATACCAGGGACAGCGTGTGGAAACGCATGGACTCCCGGTTCAAACCCCGTGATGAACACCATCCTGAGTCTCGTCCTGAGCGCTACCCTAGAGACAGAGAAACCACTGAAAGAAATAAGGCCCCTTATGATAATAGACACCAAGACAATGGTGCTTACAACAAGCGACGCTATGACGAGTCTTACCATTCCAGTAAGCATCGAGAAAAGGAAAAACGAGCAGATCTGGGAGAGTAGACCTGAATCGTAAGGCTGAGGATGTCCAACAGACGGGAAGTAATCAAAACCTTCCCTCAAAAGAGGCCCCTACGCCTCGGTTACAGGATCCCCCCAAGACGAATTCCACACATAAAGCTGATAGGGGGCCTGAGATTAGTGTTCCCTACATATCATCTTCTCCAGAACATATAAGAGAAAGACCCACCAAGTCCTCCTCGCAAAGGATTTCAGCCAATGAGCCTAAACTAAAGGGCAAAGTCATAGACTTGGATGACTCTTCTGATGCTGGAAGCTCAGCAAAGAAGAGTCTCAAGTTCGATGATGGCAAAAATCCTTCCTCACGCGACGCTTTCTCACCAGCTCTCCTACTCACTGGAACTTCACCCAAAAAGAGTTGGTTTGAGCAAACGGAAGAGGAAGAGGAAGCACGGAAACCATGCGTTCGTGATACTGAAGATGATGCCTCTTTGGGGCAGGGAAAATTTTGCGATGACCCAGACGCGGAGAAAATTCTGGAGGAGGCGGACTGGGCCGAGGAAGAAAGGGAAGGGAGCTTTGATGAGAACGATTTAATGGACGAAGATGATTTGCTGCTGGAAGAGGAAGAGGAGGCACGGGATTCACACGCCATGGTACCTAAGCAATCGATGACTTCTGCAATTCCGAGTTGGTGGAAAGGGAGCCCGGAGGCCGATATCCCTCAGGGCCGGAGCGGTGCGGTCGCTGTAAACCAGGGAGAGAGGAGCCGCCAAATCTGTACGCCACCGACCAAACTTGAGCTTCCGACGTCAAAGAAAAAAGGGACGCCAAGCCCAATTGCAGCGGGCATGTCCCTGAAAAAAAAGAAACCTCCTTTTGGGCCGCGCCTCCCAAAAATCAGTAACCTCAACAAAAGCTACTAACGGGCCGCTTCCTGGACATGCAGCACATTTGGACATGAACTCTTTTCCAGGCCCGGGGAAATCAACAAAAGAGACCATTAAAGGCCAAAACAAATCATCAAAGGTGGGGATTCACAAACCACCAAAAATCCCAAGATGAACACAATTGCATGGAATTTTCAAGGGGTGGGAGCCACCTTGACGAAGGAGCACCTCAATGAATTGTACTACTGGTTTTTACCTAAGTTTTTATTTCTTTCGGAGACCAAAAACAATCGGGAATTTTTGCAAGATGTGCAAGTTTCTTTTGGTTATGATCAGGTTTATACCGTCGACCCTGTTGGTCAAAGCGGAGGCCTAGCTTTGTTTTATATGGATGATCCCTCGGTTTGTATTTTATATGCGGACGAACATATGATCGATATTAAAACAAAATTAACTTGAAGGACACGATATTTTTATGACATTTGTATATGGAGATCATGATACTAGATATCGCGATCTGGTCTGGGAACGTTTGTCTCGGATCAGCACAACCCGAAGTGGGGCATGGTTCATGATAGGAGATTTTAATGAGCTCACAGGTAACAATGAGAAGAGGGGAGGAAGACGTCGCTCAGAAAGCTCTTTCCTTCCCTTCCGAGTCATGTTAGAAAACTGTGGTATGTTTGACTTCCCATACAAAGGAAACTCATTCTCATGGGTGGGAAAAATAAAAAATGGGAAAGTTAAATGTAAACTCGACAGAGCTGTGGGGAATGAGGATTGGCATGCCCTTTTTAACCACAGCATTGTCGAATACCTGCAACTATGGGGGTCGGACCATAGACCTGTTCTTACAAGAATCCAATCCATTACCTGAAAAACAAGGAAGAGCTTCAGATTTGATAAGCGGTGGATTGGCAAACCGGGATTCAAGGAAGCTGTAATCTCGGGATGGGTACTTCCTGATGAGATTCCAGTTCGGAATTTTCACCAAAAAATTAACTCATGCCGAAACAAGATTAGCACCTGGAAGAAAAACAACCCAACTAATTCAGCTGTGTTGATTAAAGAATTAAAAAATCAGATTGATCTCGCTCAAGATGATGACAATGTTACGACAGAAGAACTGGAAGACTTAAGGAGGCAGCTGATTTTTGCCTTCAAGGAAGAGAACACTTATTGGGAACAAAAAATCAGAGATCAATGGCATAAGTACGGGGACAGAAATACTAACTTCCACCATGCCACTACAAAGCAACGCAGAACACAAAATAGGATCATAAGCATCAAGGACAAGCATGGGAGGTTGGTAGAGAGTGAAATCGAGGTAGAGAATGTAGCTATTCAATACTTTCAGGATCTCTTCTCTACATCCTCTCCGACAGAGGTTGACACTCCCTTCGGTTTATCACAGAAAAAGTATCTCAGGCCGACAATAGGTTACTTTTAGAGGTACCGTCGGAACAGGAGATTCGGAGAGCCCTCTTTGATAGAAACCCGGACAAAGCACCTGGTCCGGATGGCATGACTAGCAAGCTCTTCCAGAAGTGCTGGTGTGAGATGCGGAGAGATATCACTAAACTGGTACAAGACTTTTTTGAGACGGGCAGTTTTGACCCACTCTTAAACCAAACGAATATATGTCTCATTCCGAAGAAGAAGAAACCCCGGGAGATGTCAGAATTTAGACCTATTAGTCTCTGCAATGTTAGCTATAAGATTATATATAAGCTACTATGCAAGAGACTTAAGAGGCTAATTCCACGACTGATTTTGGAGACACAATCAGCCTATGTGGCAAAACGGCTGATCACTGATAACATCCTCATAGCACAAGAGAACATTCACGCCCTAAGGACGAACCAAAGATGTAGGGAAGACTTTATGGCCATCAAGACCGATATGAGTAAAGCTTACGACAGAGTGGAGTGGAGTTTTCTGGCAACTCTGATGATAAAGATGGGCTTTGATGAAAGACTCGTTGACCTCATTATGTGTTGTGTCACATCGGTCTCATATCAAGTTCTAGTCAATGGACAACCGCAAGGCCGAATTCTACCAAGGAGGGGCCTGAGACAAGGAGACCCCTGTCCCCCTTCTTATTTATCCTGTGAACAGAAGCTTTGGTCTCGCTGCTGATTGGTGCAGAAGCGGAAAGGAAGATTGTAGGTCTCCGGGTCGCACGGGCTAGTCCAAGAATCTCCCACCTATTATTTGCGGATGATAGTCTTTTCTTTTGCAAAACGGAAGCTAGCCAATGCAAGGAGATCATAGACATTTATGGGAAAGCATCGGGACAACGACTAAACCCGGCAAAATCTTCAATGTTCTTCGGAAACCGTGTAGAATACACTCGAAAACAGGGGATAAAAGAGGTCCTGGGATTCTCGGCTGAAGAAGGCATGGGTATGTATCTTGGGCTACCCGAACAGATTTGCGGCTCGAAAATCAAAGTCTTTTCTTACGTACAAGACCGGCTGAATGGAAGAGTGAATAATTGGTCGTCGAGATTACTGTCCAAAGGGGGAAAAGAGGTTCAGATTAAAGCGGTGGCCCAAGCAATCCCAACATATCCAATGTCATGTTATTTAATCCCTCAAGGCTTCACTGATAAACTACGTAGTATGAACTCAAATTTCTGGTGGAGTTCGAAACAGAATAGCAGAGGTTTGCATTGGATATCATGGGACGAAATCTGCCTCCCTAAGGATTTAGGGGGACTAGGATTTCGCGATCTCCATGATTTCAACATAGCACTTCTTGCGAAACAATTATGGCGGTTGATACACTACCCAAACTCATTACTTGCACGGGTCCTAAAAGGGAGGTACTATTACAACACCTCTCCTCTAGATGAAAGACGTACATACTCACCTTCATATGGATGGCGTAGTATTATGGCAGCTAAACCCTTACTCCTCTTAGGATTACGGAAGAGGATTGGCTCTGGTCGAGATACAACGGTATGGAGTGAGCACTGGATCCCTGACTCAGTGGCCCGACCACCCAGGCCTTCCGACCATATCGTCTATAGACTCCCCAGCCTTTCAGTTCAAGCTCTTATTAGGAATGATACCAAGGAGTGGGATACTCAACGGCTGAGAGAATATTTCCAGCCGGATGATATACCTTTAATTCTTGGGTTAAAACCCTCATGCTCGTCCGCTCCAGTTGGATATGTTTGGGATTACACAAAGACAGGAGTATACTCAGTTAAAACCGGCTATGACCTACTCCAGTTGCACAAGACAAGGCCTACACATGAATTGGTTCTCCAACCGAGCATCACAGGCCTTCAGAGCCATGTGTGGAGGATAGAGGCTCCAAGCAAGATGAAGCATTTTTTGTGGCAAGTTATCTCTGGCTGTGTGGCGACAGCAGAGAGACTCAATTATAGACACCTGGGCACCGATAGGAGTTGTCCTAAATGTGATGACTCAGTGGAGTCAATTAACCACCTTATTTTTGAGTGCCCCCTGCTCTGTAGGTGTGGGCTTTATCGGACTATCCGTCCATTCCGGGTGTCTTCCCGAGTACATCTATATATCAAAATATAGACTTCCTCTTTTGGAAGAGAAAAGAGGTGGCTCCACGGAGACCACAATTCGATACCTTCCCATGGATCTGTTGGTACATCGGGAAGGCGAGGAACGACAAACTCTTTAATGGGAAAGTCGTTTCCCCATTGGATACTCTCCAACATGCGTCTCTTGAGGCAGAATGTTGAAAAAAAGCGAACATGAGTGACGGTGCCGACGAGACTCTGGAGGTACACCCCTCCGCGGAGATCGAGACAGATCCCTCTGGGAACCCCCAAACCCCGACCTGCCAAATTGAGGCATCATGGATCGATCATGGTAGCGTTATTGGACTAGGGTGGAGTCTCAAGGATCAAATGGGCCTTGAATGGGTCGGACAACGGGCATGTAAGAGGAGCCGTTCAGCCCTGCATGCAGAGATGGAGGGCCTCCTCTGGGCAGTCTCGTGCCTGAGAGACCTGCGGATCTACTCGGTGAGGATAGAGACGGACTGCGCGGATCTAGTAGACATGACTACTAATCCGGAGGAATGGCCAACCTTCACAACAGAGATCGAGAGGTTTCAGAGACTATAGGAGGGCTTTGAGGATATGAGGCTTTCTCATATTCCCCGAAGTAGGAATGCTAGAGCGGATGGATTAGCAAAAGAGGCGAGAAGAAGGGGTTCTACTTTTTCCCATATAGATCAGATCAGGCCAGACGGAGATGCTCCTAGGAGGATTGACTCGTCTGATCACCACTTGATCTAGTTTCAGATGGGCAAATGACAAAAAAAAAACAAAAAAAAAATTCCAATTCCAGGTTTCTGAATAATAATCTAATTGTACTATGTTTTTTCACTTATTCGTTTTGCTTTATGTTGTTTGTGTTATCAGTTGGTGTGCAAGAAATAATTAACACTAGTATTTTATTTTATTAATTTCAAAGCAATGATTTACGCATGTGTATTATATTTGTTTTTGTAGTTATACATACTAGTATATGATTTATGCACTGAATTTTGCAATTTAAAATATTTTATTCAATATATTAATTTTGGGGTTATATATATATATATATATACATATATGTTTCCAACATGTATATACTTCCTAAATATTTCTAAGTTGCATTTCCGCGATCTCTAGCGCTTTCACGTATTCACTTTCGTTTCCATGTAACATAAGTTTAATTTGAATATCGGTTTGGTTTTTGGTTAGTTTTTTTTTATTTTTAATCTATTAAAATATATTACTATTCTTAATAAATATTTATTATTTTTATTCTGTTAAAATGTTAGAGGTTTTAATATTTTTAATGTTAACCAAAAGTTTTTTTATTATCTATCTCGGTTGTATTTTTGAAAAAACTTCTTATTTTTGTATTTGTGTGCGATTATATGTGTATATGTATATTTTATTTCATTGAATGTAAAATTTTAAGTTTGATGATGGTAAGCGTGGAATAATTTTTTTTTTTATGTTTAATATTTTTTTTACGTACTTAAGTTTTTATTTG